AGATATTAGGATATTTTAGAATATTGCAAGATCTTGAAGTTTCCTAATTTGATTTGGTCAAAGAGGTGCTTGATAACGGCACAGGCCTATCAAATAGAGATATTAGGATATTTTAGAATGTTGCAAGATCTTAAAGTTTCTTAATTTGATTTGGTCAAAGAGGTGTTTGATAACGCCACAACAGATTACATAATATTTGAATATCACCCCTGAACAGAATCCCAAAAACAGGTTTGACTTAATTTTAGAAATTTGGAAAAAAGCTAACCCCCAATATCACCCAAAAACAGAATCCCAAAAAACAAGTCTGATTTGAATTTTAGAAAATTTGGAAAAAAGCTAACTTGCGGGTTAGCGTTTTTCCATCAAAATATTGGAAAGTTGCCTCAAAAAATTTAGCCTCCCTCCTCTGGTCACTTCAAAATTTAGCCTTCCTTCTCTAGTGGAAGGTGGGACGCCCCCATGGTGGAAGTGGGATGCTTCTATTCAACAGGATTATCTCTCTATCTCTAAACCTTTTTCTCTCTGGTTTCTTGGTTTAAGTAAAATCTTTCTCTCTCCATATTTTTTTGTAGCATAAGTTTGGCGGTTGAGATGAGGATGCGCAAAGTTTAATGGTTGGTGCTTTGGAATCCTGTGGAAGCCTTTTTGCCTTCTTTCTTTATGGTAGGTTTCTCTCTCCATGTAAAGAAGTCATGTATAAGTAACTTAGCTTTGTTACTCTCTTTCTGTATATTCAGAAAATAAATATAACAAAAGCTTTTGTTAAACACTTACCCTCAATCTACTCCAATGCCTCAGATCATAAAACTAATGTCTCCAAGGCCTTAATATCTTGAATATATTGATATGCTTCAGGACATGTATTTGTATGTATGATCTTGTAACCCTTAATTACATCCTATTTGATTAACATAATGATCTTGTAAGCCTTACAATTGTTTACTACTTTGGATTTTATTTGAGTGAATGAATAGCCAGCTTTTAGTGGCCTTATTTACTCCTCCCTCATTGTGCCGTTTCTTTTTGACAAAAAACTGCTCTGATTTTTGTTCATAGAATTTGAATCCCACATGGTTTTCTTCACTCTCTCCATGGTCTTGGTGTGTTAAATGCATATTTTGTTTCACATTATGTTGGTTGGTCTCTCTCTCTATATTAAACTGGTTGTATTACAGCTTGCATCCAATTTGTGCCTTGAGGATCCAACATAGTGTAACGGCTTGCATCCAATTCGTGCTTTGAGAATGCAACACAAGCCCTCTATGGTGATTTTGTTACAAATCAAATATGTGCTTCATGAAAAACATACAATTTATTGTGAATGTCTTCCAAACAGTCAAATATCTTAAATCTTTGAAAATTCTAAAATACAGGTAGATAGTCAAACATGCACAAAAAGATACATATCATGATAATATATAATTTAGATATATGAAAAGCAGGCAATGCCTTTAGTCAGATTTCTAAAAATTTGAATATTCTAATCCTGTTTTGTCAAACTGACCCTAAAAATTTGGTTCAAGAAATCATGATGTTTAAAAGTATGCAATTATGATGTTCAAGAGCATTTCCAACATTCTTCTAAAACAAGTAATAAATATTTTGTGGAGGTTCTAGATGAATGTGTGAACTCTCACATGACCATGTGTTTGCCATTGGCTTACACCCTCTGGAAATCCCCATGCAACCCTGATTTTAATCCTACTTTAAGATAACAAATTAATTCTCATATTTATATAGATATTTTATTATAATTCCACTTTGTTTATCACTTTTGGTAGATTGTCATTCTTTTATAGTATATTACATCTTTTCAAGGAGATTATTCTTATTACTTTTATAATATCATATCATTGCCTGAAGAGAATGTCAACAATGAGAAATATTGGTTTATTTGAGTGGTATGTACAGAAAGCGATGGTTTGAGGGAGAGAGAGGGAGAGAACTAACTCATTCAATTGAAATTGTATACAGTGGACATTAAACATTGACAACAATAGAGAGAGAGAGAGACGATGAAAATGGATATAGCTTATAAGTAAATTGACAAATTTATTAGTTTCGATTATAAATAGAAAATCCGACTAGGTAGAATTATAATTTAAGTTAAGACAAACATACAAATTATAAAATCAAACAATATAAAATTGCAGTTTAATCAGACCATTCAAACCCCATCTCAGCAAACTGCAGTTTGGTCATATTCGAAAGTGGTAAAAAATAATTTGAAACTTGAACACCATTTCATGTAATTTGACAATAAAACAAGCCCTAAATATATTTTGGTGAATGGGAAATTCTCTTGAGTAGAATCGCCACCAATTCCAATTGGAGCCTCTACTTTATATTTCAGTCCAATTAGAACTTAAAATTCAAGCACCTTAAGAAATTGAACTGTAATTGGCCAAATTCCAATTTGGTTTGAATTGGAATTAATTTGTACTTTGGTGGTAAATAAAACAGGCATCAGACTGTTGTCATGTGTAGGCATCCTTCAAGTATAGATTCCTTTTACATTCTTCTCAGTCCGTACTCTTTTTTACTCTCTCTTACTCTTCCCTTGGCATATACCATTCTCAACAAATGAAAATCAGGACAAGTCCCTAACTGGGGCAGGGGATAAATGTGGTGTCAGCTTAACTCCAATTATAACCATGAGCAGTGCATGATTGAGCAATATGGAACCAAGCTTGTGAAGCTTGTGTCGAATTACAAGACATCTCATGCATAACTCAATAAGTTGGGGCCTTCTAATTCTGCTCTATAGTTGTCATTGTGTGAAAGATTAGGTTGAATTGTTCTATAGTTTGGCCCTGGCTTTGCATAGTTGGATTTAATTGCTGTATCAGCTATTGCTTTTTCTTTCCAACTCTGCATTTCTCAACTTTTCACTTCTCTTGTTCCACCACAGAGGTGGTTGTCAGAAACCTATTATAAGGTTGACATGAAATTAAACAATCTATTATGTCTGTATTGTTGATATTTCATACTAGTGTAAACCTATGCTTATATTGTAACATAAATTGGATTCTTTAATATCCTTCGGGATTCCTGTATCTGTGCATGTTTTCGCTTCTTTGTTGTTATTTAGCATTATGAAACGAGTATGGAAGTGTAATATTAAGAATTGCCACCAGGCTTATGAAACACATCTTTCTACATCACTAAAAATCTTTAATACGCTCTTTCGGGAGAGTACATCATGAGTTTTACTGCTGAAGATGCACTTCGCATGAATATCCTATCACTCTTTGATACATAAATTTGTCATTGGGAGCCAAAACAGGTTTATACATGGGTATTGAGCTGCCTATGCTCTCGCTCACTAGAAACATGTTTTTCTCATAAACAGCAACCATTTTTAAGGGTTTTTGCACCATAAACAAATGTGTGCCTTTCTTGCTCAAGATTTAGATCTTTTCCACTATATACTTCCGATTTAGATTGCATTATGCTTTGTCTACTTTTATCTTCTTACGTGATCTGCTGAGTGCTACTTAACCTGATTCTAAACCATAGTCTGAGCCCATTACCTCTTTTCTTCCATTTGGGACCCCATCTTAATAGGAAATATGCAGTCTTAATTGAGGGGCAATGCTTCAAGAAGGTAGTAAAGTTTTGCCATTCATTGGTTTTAAATTGTAGTACTGAAGAGTTCAGGTTGGAAGGGATGCTAGGAGATATGGCAGTCCTGAAAGACCAAATGATATACAATTGTTCCCACAAACAAAAATGCTGAATGCCAATGTTTTTTGGATCTGTAGGTTTCATAATATATTTTAGGGCTTATTAAGCGAAAAAATATGTAAGATATATTTTTTAAGAAATTAAACCTTCAAATTTTTATTTTTGAGTTTAGCCCTCCTTGCTCCATGTGGCCCTCTTTAGATTGGTAAATGACGAACTTGTCCTTAAAAGCGCGAACTTGATTTTGGCAGGGTTTCAAACGACATGGAGAACTCTGTTTTCAGGCAACCCAAAAGGGGAAAGGAGTACGAGGTTGTGGAGACTTTTAGGAGATCTTTTCCTAAAATTCCAGGCAAAAATCGATTCATCTGGTCTTCTCTCTAGATTTGTCTCTCTCCCTTCATATGATACCATCTTTCTTTTTGGAGAGCAAACAACGATGACGATGACCATCTCCTGCTCTCAACAACTGTACTAATGCCAGACACCCATCTTCCATAAATGCAATATTTCTTTGGTCTTTATTCGCCGCCGTTGAATATGTCATCTACTCACCATAAACATCTCCATCTGTTGCCATAAGCAAGTTACTGTCCCTGCGGCAAACATGGATGACCCACACATACGAACTCAATCCGTCTAATTGGAAGGGGACAAAATTTTGGAAAGGCTAGAAATTGCTAGTTGATGGTAAGCTTTTGCATAAGTTCTAATTTTCTACCCTAATTCTCTGAAAATATTTTTGGACTTTAGGGTTTGGAGCACATCTTGATTCCTCAATCCCATGAAATTTGGAGAGTTTTTGCTCTCATACCAGTTATCATAAGATAGGGCTTGACTGTACAATGATTACATCAGACATTGCAGAAATTGGGTTCCCCAGAGATTATAGAGGTCATAAGATATGTCATTGTGTATATGTCACAGCTAATTTCATATTCTTTAGTAAATTTTAATTCAAAGATTGCTCCCTTAGGGGCATTTTCATGCAGGTCCGTGTTTTTTCCAGCCATTTTTTCCCAAACTCGAACCAATTTTGGGAATTCTTTTCCAGGCATCAGAAAACTTCTTCATGACAATATTCCCAAACTCAGACCAATTTTGGGATTTTTTTCCAGGCATCAGAAAACTTCTTCACGACAATCTTCAAAGACCCTTTATTGCCAAAAAAAACCCATTCACTGATTTTGAAAACACCATGTGGGACGGTGGTCCAAAGTCAAAAACTCAAAATGGTTTGATAGGGCTGCAGCCCTATCAAAGTAGAGCCTTACCTCACAACTCATTCAAATTACAATTCAAGCATTGAAAAATATTTACATCAATCATTTTGACTTGAACACTATTATTGTGAAAATAAAATACAATTTTAAGCTCTAAAAATAGTGTATATTCTAACAAACTATCTAGATCGTCCATTTGCCCTAAAACTAAATGTTCTCTTATATGCATGATTTGAACCATTTTTTTAGTTTCAAATTTTATTGTTGGCATTAGAAATTGATTTTTAGAGAGATTTCCTTTGTCAAAAGTGCTTTCTGAAAAAGGATTTGAGGTGAGGCTTTACTTTGGTTTCATAAAGCCTAGGCCTTATAGAAACCTTATTGTTCTCCTAAAAAGAATATCCCTCATTCTCTTTTTCTTAAAAACCGTATATTTTATTCACAAAATCACTAAGGGCATGTTTGTTTTTTAAAAGTATTCTTTAAGATTTTGAAAAAGTTCCGCGTTTATTTCACACTTTCCATGAATAATATATATAATGTAATAAATAATAATATAAATGTAATAAATAAATAATATATTTATTATATTAAATAAATAATATATAATATTTCGCTTATAAATTTTTAATAATTAATGATTAGCTACAAAAGGATTTTTTTAAGTGAATGAGACAGTTAAAAACAAGAAGTCCCTATTTTTATTTTTTTTTTTGTCTTTTTTAGTACTATCAGGGAAATTATAGTTAGGGGCTCTTCCCTTAGGGTTTCAAGTTAGAACCTCTAGTCTCAGTCTAGTCTCACAACAAACTGTGGTCTAATCCCAATAGCTATAGCCTATAGGTCCTTCGTCCATCAGTCGGTAGCTCAGATGGGTGGCCTGATTGATGGACGAGGTCACCATACTCAAGAAGTCATGGACCAGCCGAGATGCCAAGGATCAAAGTGCAAGAACCAATTCACTGGCACAAGGGGTGCGAAGGCATAATTAGTAGATTTCTTTGAGGATTTGCTTGCTCAGGAGAATGAGGTTGATTTTCATTTGGCAGACCAATTTCTTCCTTCTACTCTTCTAACTCCGCAGCAACAAGAAAAGCTCATTGCAGATGTTATCTTGGAAGAAATCAAAACATGTTTTTGGGATAATGAGAAATGAGAGTGCCCCGGGCTCATATGGTTTTAATGCGGAATTGACAAATTCAGTAGGGAGATCATCAAAAAAAGATCTATTTGCAGTCTTACAGGATCTTTTTACAAGGGGTAAATTAATAATATAAATATTATATACATAATATATAAATATCTTATATTATACTATATATTATATATTATATTAGGTTATATATGTTATATATTTATATTTATATTGTTAATATGTATATGTTATCAAACACAGTACTCAAAACTTATTTAAACCTTTCAGAATAAACCATTCAATTTTTAAAAAAACTTTCCAGAAAATATCTTTCAGAAAAACAGACATGCCCTAAAAGAAATGGATTTTGATCTCCAAATACTCATCCATCAAGGTGGAGAATCAAGAGTCAATATTATCGATAAATAGAGATAATTGGATAATTTTGGGTCAAATGCCTATGCTATTTTGATTGTAGGAATAAACATGTAATTTGGCTGTTTGGGATTTGCTAACTCTTTTCACCTAGACTCTGTTTAAAATCTGGATCGTTGGGTGAGCTGGCTTGTTAATGGGTTGATTAGGATTGGCGATTTAATTTGGATTGGTGATTTTCTTCGTTGATTTCGAGAATATTAAAATAATAAAAAATTAAAAATTCAAAGGTAAAGTAGATGCAAAACGAGCAATTCAGCCCGATTTGGGTCACCTGGTACTCACGCGATTTTATGACAGAAGAGGTCAAGTCTCTAGAAATTAGACAAATTTGCAGTTCTGGTTTGAAATAGAGTCAGTCTCCCACTCGAGGGAGAGATTACTGATGTCGTGTCCAATCTCATGCGGGCCCCAAATAGAACTCGTTTGGATTTTGGAAACTATATTGATTTAATTTTCTTGTTAAATGCATTATGAGTGAAGTTTAGATGGTTTTCGCGAAAGATGACAAAGTCAACGAAAGGTGGAGAATTTATTTTAAAAAATTGTTTAAATGATGAACGCTACATAAATGCAACACTAGGAGGAGCCTTTGACATAAATGAAGTCATAGGTCATACATACATTCTTAGGATTAGTTTATATAAAGTGAAACAAACGAACCTAGGAAATGCATTAGGACCAAAATGGCATTCAATAGAAGTTTGGAAGTGCATGGTAGATATTGGCATATCTTGGTTTACAATTATTTATCAAGATGTTAAGAACAAAAAAAATGCAAAATCAATAGAGAAAAAGTTCTATGGTCTCTATTTACAAGAACAAAAAGGATCACAGAATTTTAAGAACTATCAAGGGATCAAATTTATAAGTCAGACTATGAAGCTATGTGAGAGAATAATTGAGCAACAACTATGACATGAGGCGAGTGTATCAGAAATTAAGTATGGTTTTATGCCTAGTAGGTCAACAATTGAGTTTATTTTTTCTTACTAAGGCAATTGATTGAGAAATTTATGGACGAAGAAAAGATGTCCACATAGTTTTTATTAATTTAGAGAAAGCATACAATAGGGTATTTAAAGAGTTAGTTTGGTGGGTGTTGAGAAAAATGAGTCTTTAGAGGTTATTGACATGATGAAAGATATGTACGAGGGAGCGCCAACTAGTGTGAGGACGACTAGTGGAGAAACAAGTGAATTTTCAATAACAGTAAGCCTACACCAGGGGTCAATGTTGAGTCCATCTCTGTTTGTTTTAGTTATGGACGAGTTAACTTGACATCTACATAATGAGGTACCTCAGTATATTTCTTCGCAGATGATATAGTTTTGATTGATAAGACTAGAGACAGCATCAATACATTATTAGAACTTTAGATAGATGCTCTAGAATCTAAAGATTTTAAAATTAGTTGAACTAAGACATAAAAATATACTGGATGCAAATTTAATAATAATAGCAGTAGAAACAACCTAATAGTTAAGATCAATGATCAAAAAGTACCTAAAAGAAATTATTTTGGATGCTTGGGGTCAATAATCTATGAGAATGGAGAGATTGAGAGGGATGTCGCACATAGAATTATAGCTATGTGAGCGAAGTAGATATGTACTTACAGAATTTTATGTGATCGTCGTATACTAATGAAACTAAATGAGAATTCTATAGATAGTTTTTAAAACCAGCCACACTTTGTGGGAAGGAATGTTGGGCAACCAAGAAATAGCATTTCTCTAGAATGATTGTAGTTGAGATGAAGATGTTGAGATGGATGAGTAGCAAAACAAGAAAGATAGAATTTGGAATAAATACATCCGAGGAATTTAAGGGTGATTCCAATAGGCAACAAAATAAAGAAAAGTAGACCTACAAAGGTGGGCCATGTCCAGTGTCGACCTAGAACAGCACCGGTGAGGAGAGGCGATTTAGTTCAAGCGAAAGGCTATAAAAAGATAAAGGGAATGCCCAAAGGCACATAGACGGCAGTAATGAGAAAAGAAATGGCGGAACAAGATTCACGTAGCTAACCCCATGTAGTTAGAATAAGGTTTGTATGATGATGATGATAGTGTTTTTTTTATTTTACATAAATATTACTTTTTTACTTTTTTGTGAATGCGCTTTACGAGGACCTTGGGAGAGTTCCTTCAATGACATAACTTCCCCATCAGTATGGAAAGCGCTTTCACTGCTGCTTGCAATGGCTTTCCATTTCCTTGAAAGGAAAGAACTTTAAAAGCTTTATGCAGTGGGAAATAACTTTCTAATAGAATTCTTTCCCCGAAAACAAATGTGCCATAAATCTTTAAAGGGGGTGAACATCTTGTTACATTGGTTTAGGACATCATGGAGAAATACATAAAATATGTTGAAAAATAGAAAAACCTAAAGGGCCCGTGAGTTCAAAGGGCGTTCATACAAGTGTTTTTGTGTGTTTTAGAGAATGGATTTCTTGAGGAAAAAAAAGTACCTCGCCATGGAGACTTGAGCGTACTATTGACCAAATATTCTACATTTGCATGCACATCTTATGGGGACATACATGGCGTCAGGCCAACTTAGTAGCTGAGAACCTTGCTAGAGGAGCACTCATCTGCCTAGATTTTTTAAAGTTGCTTTGATTTAAAAAGGATGTAGTTTCCATAGGGCCTAGAAGTGAAAATAAAGTAAAGCGCCATATTAAATTCTTATATGGAAAACACTTTGGGTATCAGACATCTTTATGATGGCTCTAAAATTATTTCCAATACTAACTGTGAAATTTGAAACTTAAAAAATGTACAAATCTTGTGGATCCGTGAACACTTATTTTTACGGCAAAATGGGCGGTTAGATAATGTATTACAATGTACACTTTTTAAGACTTGAAATCTTTTTTTTTTTTTACAATCATGTCGATGATCAATTTAAAGGTTTTTCGACCCTAAAACTGCAACTTTCGATAAGTTTTGAGATGAGGCTCTACTTATTTTAATAAGGTTGCAGCCCTATCAAAATATTTTTCTTAAAAAATTAAGGGGTCATTTTAAAATAACTTTAAAAAATACTCAAGTTTATAACTTTTCATAATAATTTCAAAATCGATTATGTTAAGATACTCACACTATCGAGCATTTTATAATTGTACTCAATAAATTTTAGACATTTGTAAACTTTATTTTTTTACATGACGTATTTTTTTAGTAATGGTG